GCTGAAGTAATGTCACACCTAATCATACCAGCTAATTCATGGAAAGCTCTCAAGCTGACAAGTCCTGGACTTTGATACAAAACTGAAATGTAAGCAGCTGGTCTGAGCTCAGCCTTACTGGTGGGATTCACAGCACTCAGTCCTCACATGGCTTGGTTCCTCGCACAGCAAGCCACGGTCCACTCCACATTGCTCTGGGGACTGTAACAGATGTCCAACCAATTTGAGAACCAGTTTGAAAATGCACTGTCAAAGCTCAGCTAATGGTGGCATTATGGGACAGAATCATAACCTGCCCAATGTGCTCTGCTGAGCAGAGTGGAGCTCTAATAAACAAAACAAAACAGAATTAAATAAATAAATAAACACACAAAAAAAAAACCCAGCCATCAGTCTGATGAAAAGGACCTGACTGTGACCTCCCAGAGCAAAATATGTGGGAAATTGGTGTTGATATTAGACAGAACCACTGCATGTACAGTATAAGATTTATTCAAAGGATTTTTGCACAAATTCACATAACAGTGAAAAAGGAAGAGATGAGTGAAGAAAGGATGGAGAAAGAGGGAGAGAGAGATTTAGGAACTATGTTATCCAAAGGACATACAGAGAAAAGGCTTTCACAAATGTATTCCAGCTTCCCTTTCCTTCTCTTGTAATCCCCTCTATCCTTTATACCCCAGTCTCTCTCTCTCCTCTGCTCCTCTTCTCAAACCTCAGTCGGCAGATTGGGGATTTTTTTTTCTCTTTCAGAAAATAAAAAAGACGTTTCCGCGTTTTATGGACAATTTAGTCCGTGCAAATAGATGTAACTGAGAGCCAGGATATTTTGCCAAGGTTTACGATGATCAAATACGGACCAGTCCGGTGATTAATTACCACAATAGGGCGCACAAGTTCGCCAGCGAGTCGGGCATGTTGTATTCTCTGTATTACCGTGTAGCCAATGCCGCAGCGGGGAGATAATCGGGCGGAGGGAGCTGTTATAGAGAGGAGACAGAGAGAGGAGCTGGCAGCACATGATCACACAGGCTATCCAGTCACTGATCAACTGGAGCATTCATAATTGCGCTGGCGATAACATATGGGAATACAGCAAGGCGAGACTGTGGTCACACCTGGTTAAGGAGGACACCAGAGGACCGGTGCGGGTAAAACCACGGCCAAATCTGAGGGACTTTGCATCAAACACAGCCGAGAGAAAGCGTGGCTTCCGAAGCACCATCCGGTAGGTGAGGGTTGATTGATGTGCACGGACTGCCAATATGCGTTTCATCATCTGATCTGGCAAAAATTTCATCTCATCGGGCTTTTATGGCTCGTTATAGCCCAACAAGTATTTTACTCTGTCTTTTGTCTTCTGTCTGTGGCACGGTTCAAGAAACCATTGGGTCTGTCAGTGAAATACAATTGACTCTTAGCAAATGCCAAGGCGCTTGATTGAAGATGCGGGTCTCAGTGAATAGCTGGCAGTCAGACTCATAGGCTGAACAGTGGATACTGGTTCGAAGGCCCAGTCTGGATATGCATTCAAACAAAGGAGAAGACACACCACCAAAGATACAGAGATTAGACAATGATTGGCGCTAGTCTTGATGCAAGAAAAACAGCAAATGGAAGCCGCATAATGTAAGTTTACAACTGAAATATTTGCACTTGTGTATGTATTGAAATAAAGGTCTGCGCGTTAGTTGCAATTAGGTGCACAACAATCTAGTTCATGAGTCAGACTGAATGTACTTAAATATTATTTAACACCCCATTCTGGTATGCGAATGAGTAAAGACTGTGAAGTTCGTCAGGTAAACCCCCCAAACACCTCCACTGACTCCTCTGACAGTCTTGTCAACAGAATTACTGCCCATTCTACCCCTGCTGCAGCGCCTCCCTTAATTAAATGCCTATTAAGTAAAACAGATGAAACTACACAAGAATTTTTAGATAATTTAGCAAATAAGGAGAGTAAATTTAAATGCTTTGTAAGCATCTTGTTAGGTGCCACGTTTTGCATCAGAACAAAAATCGAACTTCTATGTAAAACTCCTGTCCACGTCACTGACCTATAACCACATTTCAAATATTAATGTCTGAGCATGAGAGGATTTGGGCCAACAATCGTGACCCAAAGTACATAACCCAAACACACTTCCACTGTAACTCATTGAACAACCTCGTGTGCTGAATATCAGAATGAAGGCAAATTTGGCACAGGTAACTTCTGGCAAAATCTCACAGAGGTGAAACAAAACGTTGATGAGGAATCATATGAATGAGGAATTGCAGAGGCTTCAGACATGCCTGCTGCAGTTCTTGATCTAGCCTGTGCCCATGGCACATGGGTGATAGACCAACAGATGGTATCTCTGCAGGAATTCATCTTGTGAAAGTTGGACAAGACATTCTTGGATATAGGCTACCCTCTGACTCTCTGGCACTGAGGCCTGCGTCTGGCGGTAATGATGGCAGTCATGGTGAATGGTCTCACTGATTACGCCGCTCTTTCATCTGACTTACCCCCTCTCCTGCTCTCCAAGTGAATAAATAAATAAATAAATAAATAAACACTCTAAAATCATTGTAGTCCACTATAACTGCACTACAGATGCTGCAAAGGGTTACTGAGTTGATTTGCATGGCTTCATCATACATCAATAGATATGCAAGCAATTGAGATTTGCAATTGGATGACCAGCTCAGGCACAATTCAGCCTCTTCCAGCACTATTACATGTCTGGCCATTAACATGGTTGTAAATAATGCAGCTTTCTAATTGATTTGTAGATAGAGGATGCACATTATAGTACAAAGTCTGTGTATTGTAAGGGTCTTTGTGTGGCCTGTGTTGTATACCATTTGTCTGTTGGTTGGTTTGTTTGTAATGCTGTTGTCCCATGGATGCTAGCTACAGTACAGAAATCACTATGGCTGCAATACTGATCTGCCTTGTTAATTACTTCATTGCATTAGGGGAAGACACAGCTATGTAATAAGCAAGATAATATATAGGGAGTCATTCATTATTGTATTTCACCTTGGAGCTTACTTTCAATAATGACTAGCTCCTTGTAAGTAAGCCTTACTTGGCAACCTGTAGCAGATCAGAGACTGCTTGTTGCTGCCAGTGATAAGCCACTACCAGATCATTAGTGATCGTTTCAACTGGCTGTGAAATCAAGGTTATATTGCTCCCTGACATCTGACTTATTGATGTCATTGACATCTGACTGACGCCCAGATCATTTTGTCCTTAACTCTAACCAATTAGCATTAATGCATCACATAACATCAGCATGTCTTTTGCATGTAGAAGTCAGACAAAACAGGCATGAAAAGTGTGCATCAAAGATTTTCCATAATCAAATGCAAAAACTAAAAGATCACCTTCAGCTCATAGTATTTGGTTTGTCTTTACTGACATAGACTGCTCAGTGTTGCCTTTCAAAATCAGATGCAGCTTCAGCCCAGCCAAGCTAGCAGTCCTCGGCTACAGTACTTGCTTTCACTGGGAGGAGATATGTGAACTTCCTAACTATAAAACATAACAGCATAGCCATTATATTTGTGACAGCACAGTCATTATAGGAATGACAGCCTTCCTGCTACCCATTGTTGCCATCACAGCTAGAAAATTGATGGTTTACAGTGACTATGTTGAGCAGTAGGTGGAAACTTGTCAGAACAGATTGGAGGTGGACTGAGAAACAGGATTAGAACAGCTCATAAAAGTAAGTTCAGATTGATTTTGACGGAAAGCACCTATACTCACTATTGACTCATATTGTTAATTGCAAGGTAGGTCATTCCAAGAATGCCATGGTGTTATTTTCAGTGCCATAGTGGGGATAACCATGCTGATTAAAGAAGTGTACGAGTAGTAATTAGTGCTATTCAGTAACAAAAAGGACATTTTATGAGCATGTATTCAGATGATAGGTATAAAGGGGCTGTTTGTCATTAAACATAGCATACTGCTACGTTTATCTGGTGAAACATGATATACTGAAAGTGTTCTTGCAATTGCAAATTTTCAGCACCTGGCAGTGGTATAAATTTAGCAAAATTTCTGTGGACATATGCTAGTTTGAAAGGAATTTATAATGCATGTAGTATGCTTTTTTTGTTGCTATTTTAATGAAAGCCATTCTTAAGCACTTGCCATTAGCAGCACCAGGAACAGAAATACAGCCCTTCTCTTCTCCAGTGAAAATGTTAGAGGGGAGGAAGGGAAGGGAACGAGGTGAAGGGAGGGCTTTCTGGAGGCAGTGTAGCCTTCAGTAATGGTACCCTTGTCACAGGCCTGCGCTGAGCTGGACAGCCTCTGTCTTTGGCCATGACCACAAATTAATTAGTTGTACATTTGCAGCGTAAACAGCACGTTGAACTACTGCTGACAAAAATGAGGTTTACTGGACCAGCGTTAGTTAGTTAGCTGGCTGGGAGTCAAGACAGGGGCAGCTTGTGACAGGTAGTGTCTTTACCTCCAGCTAAAGGAGCAAGGGCATCTTTACAGACCAGCCTTAGCTCGCTTTCCACTCACAACATCCATTTTCTTTTTCATGTTGTAAAGTATTTTATTCTAATAATGAACAGATGTGTATTACCTTAATTTACATGTATATTATGGTATTGCATTGGCTTCTTTTGAGCAGCCATTAGAATATTTAATTTGAGAAGAGTTGGCAACAGTATTTTGTGGATTTATCCAGACATTTATTGTAAACTTCCTGCCATCCTGTGCAGCAGACGCCTGCGTTTTATGAGCGCTATTTACTTGGCAGGGTGCGAATGGTGATATCAGAGCAACACTGCAAATTCAAATCCTTCCAAGACAAATAAATTACAAATGGACATGAAAACATTTCAAATTGTTCCCTAATTGCTGTTGACTGTTGTAATGTTGATTGCAAATCAGCATGAAATATTCACAATATTAGTTTTGTGGTAGGCTAAATCATGCAATAGCGGTTGTGGTAATAATCAAAAGGATTCTGTCCAACAGCAACTTAAACACAGTCATGCAAGCAGTTAAACCCACCCCTTCATGGCTCTAGTTCTGCAGCCTAACATGTAGTTTTTTTCAAATGCTGCATGAAATGGACATTCAGAAATGGTGTTTTACATCATTTATAAGAATCAAAACATACTGAGGTCAAGCAGAGCATGCAAACAGACCATAATGATTGTAAACAAACCTATGACACAAGTTCAAAGTGTTTATTTGTCATATGCACAGTTAGGAAACATGTTTCCCTGTACAATGAAATTCTTACTTTGCCGTCCACATGAATGCCACAAAATACAAATGAAATATAAAGTAGATAAATAAGTAACACAAAATCTAAGGCACTTTAAGCAGTGCAGATGCAGCAGTATAATAAAAATTTATCAGAATATAATAAAAGAATGTATGCTGCATGGGAGCAGCATGTGCAGCAGTCAACAGTCAATGTGCAAACTGAGAATGTAAACAGTACATCACGTATTTCCTGGTAATAAACTCCTCAGCTGTTTAGGAGTCTGATGGCAGAGGGAAAGAAAGGGTTTTTCAGTCTAGAGGTCCTGCATTTCACACTTCTGAACCTCCGGCCAGAGGGCAAAGAAGTGAACAGTCCGTGCTGGGGGTGGGTCGGATCTTTGAGGATGGAGGCAACTTTCCTACGCATCCTGCAATGGTAAATGCTCTGCAGAGCGGGCAGTGGAGTCCTGGTGATCTTCTCCACAGTCTTTACCACTCTCTGCAGGCGCTTGTGGTTCATAGCAGTAGTGCTGCCATACCAGACAGTGATGCAGTTGGTCAAGATGATGTCAATGATGCAGCTGTACAAGTTGCAAAGGATCCTAGGTGACATGTAAACTTCCTTAGCCTCCTCAGGAAGTACAGCCACCGTTGGGCCTTCTTGACCATTTTGCTCATCCCTCAGCCAGAGCATCGTTCCCACAGGTGGGAACGATGCTCTGGCTGAGGGAGAGATTGAAGATGGTGGTGAGAACATCAGCCAGCTCACTGACACATGCCCTGAGAGCCCTCCCAGGGAAGTTGTCCGGTCCTGCCGCTTTGCCTCTGCTTGGTGAAACAGTTAGTGGAAGGGAGGTGGGGGGCTGGGTGGTCTCCGTGTATGTGTGCATGCTTCCTCTCTGTGCTGTGGCTGGAGGTCTCAAAGCGGGTCTAAAAGGTGTTGAGGTCATCCGGCAGGCTGTCTGTGGAGCTGATGATGCTGGTGGTGGTCC